ATCGTTGCCTCCGCCGCGCCCGTCGTTTTCCACCGTTCTGGCTCGTCCTTACTCCGCCCCCCCGATCGTCCCCCCTGATCCGTGCACTGTCTCCTTTTCCCTCTTGTCTGCCGTTTCCTTCGAAATAGCCCCGGCGCGGAAAGGCGGTAGATGGCGGATCGCGATTGGCGAATCGAAGAAACGAGAGCAATTGTCCCAGGGATTCGAGGCAAGAGAGAAAACAGTTTGGTTGGGGAAAAAGAGAAGAAAAATAAAAGGGAAGAAACGGGAGGGATGAGGGTGTGGTTGGCGGGGGGTTGAAACGCCCGGACATCGCTCTGTCGAAGTTAACTTCGCATTTAACATCTGCCTGGGAGGTTAAAATTTCCCCGGAGGTTTACCCTAAGTTGTGCCGGAACGGTATATCTTTTGCCCCGAGACTCGAGAAAAGAAAATCAGCGGCGTAGAGAGGGGAGGGGGGCTTCATCGTTCGAGCGAACGGTCGTTCGCTGGCCAGCTTCTTCTTGCTTATGCACGGAAGTACCTCGGAAAAAAATAACGCCGAACGACAGGAGACGCTGAACTTTACGTTTAATCAAAAAGCATTTAATTTCGTGAATTTGAGAATCGAATTATTCCCATTACGCTTCCCGAAGCGCTTGAGTGTAAAATCTTGCGTTTCAAAGAAATTTCCAGAGAACGAAAATTTATGACTTTTCTAGACATCTGTCTAGAAGACGCCTTCTAAATTTAATTTACCAAAGCAATTATTTCTTCGCAATTTTGCTACGAGAGAATAAAGACCGTCGATCCTCGAACTTGCCAAGAAAAAAAAAAAAAAAAAATTACAACAAAGTAAAACGAGCAAGGTAAAAACGAATCATGCGTAGAATAGAAAACAATAGCGTTCGAAATCGACGATGTGGTAAATTCGTCGGGAACGTGGACAAAGAGGAAACAAAGAAGCCGTGCTTAATTTCGGACGGCAATATTGGCGAAGCGGCAATTCGCGCGAGGGGAAATATCGTTTGACGTTTCTATTAGAGATCGATGACGATGGGGGCGAGACGTAGCCGCGCGTAAATCTTGTCGCGGTACAATCACCGGCCGGCGATCGGCGAGAGCGAATCGGATAAAAGTAATTCGCGATAAAAGCGATTTCCCAAACCGTTCGGCGAGCGCGCGCACTCACCAACCGAATGAATAATAAACGCAGCGCATATCACCGGCCAATTATTCGAATCGCGAACAATTCTGTGTCGAAACTTGTTGATTTAACGAACGAACAGTCGACTAGATATACGTTCGATTACGGAACCCTTCATTTCTGTTTGCGCCGTTTTATCAAATCGGTGCCGGTTTGAATTTGATCAGTTCGATTGTCACCGGATCGATAGAAACAACGCCAGCTCTCGATCGCTCTCAAATGAGCCACCGTGGAACCGGTATGTTCGAGACGTAGTTCACCTCCGTTCAACTGTTCAACAACTTATAGATCGAGTGTATCGCGCGACCAGATGGTTACACTCTATTTTCAAATTCTTCTCTAAAAAACAGTCTCTAAAAACAGTCACGAAACTCTGGCATATTCTTAACCGTTGTTGTTAGCTTCTGGAATTGGAAATTTGCGAGGCCGTTTCGTTAAAAATATTGAGAAATATTTACAATGTGTCTTGAAACTTTCCAATTTCTTCTTGTTAAATGTAATTTGAAATTAGAACGTTCGAGTGCGTAAAAGATAATATTTTAGTCAAACTAGATTACCGAGATTTACGTTGAAGGTTACAGTCGGTTAGAATATTTCCATGTAATTTTATAGTCCCAAAGAGTGAAATCACTCGGAATACGGATTATCGAGCTGATGAAGAAGCGTTGGCAAATACGATAAAAAGAAGGCCCGGAGGCGCGATAATCGGCAGAGCTGCAGACGATTCGATTATACGTTCGACTCAATGGCGGCGTTTATCGCGACGAACCGCATAAGGGCGCGGTGATTTTTCGACTTCGATTCCCTCGGACGGGGAACTCCGAGAATATTGAAATCATAACGTGCCAGCCATGAATATTATCCAAGTCTTAAGGTAATATAATCCGAAATCGATCGAGGAACGTGGAATAAATTTGGCACCCCGCTGCTCACTTTGAACCTGATGTTCCACGAGAGAAGCAACAACGTTCTAACCGAACTTCGTCCAGAAGACGATGATGATTTAGTGCCACAACGTTCGGTATTGTTGCAGTTGAAACAACTAGTGATTTTACAAATTGCTCGAAAAATGACATGAAATGCCAGAAATGAAAGAACGAAGGACGAAAAAGATTGAATCAACTTAAATTAACTAGAATTGCTGTTTTAAAAAATTGGAAGAAAGTTCACTTTCGAAATTTCAAACGTCGTTATTTAAGAGGAAATCGATTCTTTAAATTGTCACATGTACTGAGAATTTAGTCGCAGGAATTCTTTGTTAATTATCAATTAACGCTGGCCTAAATTAACGTTTTTGACATCGACGAATTTGCCATCGATACTTTTCGACGATCGTGGCATGGTAATCGGTAAGTTACGAGATGAAATAATTGCGCCGAACTTTCATCACGGAAAATTGCGATGTCACTCCGGCGACATGAATAAATTGAAATGTAAATATTCGCGGTGATACATCGTACACGTCGTCAACATCTAGACGTACGTCAATGTGTTTTCGCGATAAATATTTATACGACTGAATTTTCTTTCATCGAGCGATATTTCCGAACTGTGAAGTTCAATTCGAGCTTAATAATAGACTGATTCCGCAACGAAATTCATCAAACACAACTTTCTGTGTAAACAGCGTGATGTTTTACTTATTCGAAAGAGGCAAAAAAAAAAAAAGCTTTTATTCAATTTGTCAATATTTGAACCTCTTTACATTTCGTAATTTTGGAAAAAGATGAATAAAAAATTTTGTACCTACGCATGCAATTCATATCTGAAAACGGGGAATTGACTCGCATAATGATTTCAGTCGATAAAGCTTCTACGTTCTACTCGTAATTTCCGAGAATCGTTAACGTATCAACTCTCAATTAGCATCGTTGAGTAGATGGTTTAATTTAACTTCATACTTATACTTATCATTTTCCACGCTTAGCAATCAAATTAAATTAAATTAAATTAAATTAAAGATTCCGAACTTAAGTGATTCAATGCTAAATTATCACTGACACAATTTTATATAATATCTCTGCAGATATTTAATACGCGTTTTCACGTTATCATGCAGCTTCTCGTAAATAACGTAAGATAAGGATAGAGTATCAAGGTTCTTGCTTCGTCTGCGTGTAAAACAGGTTGAAAGAGGAAACCGAGGAGACCGAGCAATCAAAAACGAGAGGTGTTCTTACTTCCGGACAACTTGCCTGCTATTACGTTCATTACATGCAGGCATTAACGAACGTGGACAAAAACGGGGAAGAGAACGGAGGGAACTGCTTCGGTTGACTCCTCTGGTAAACCTTGGTAAATTAGTGTTTTCGCCGTTGAACTGTAGACTATTACGGTGAAACGATCCCGGGTCTAGCATGTAATAATTGCTTCGACTTACGGGCGCCAGGCCGTCTTTGAAAAATAGAAGAAAACCAATGTAATACGCTCGTATATATATATTTTACCGTGACGTGTTTAAAAAGTGAGAGCTTTTAAACGCAATATTTCTATTTCTCGCCATTGAAGACAGGTTTCTCGTTGATTAAACACGCTGTACAAACACTTTCGCCTCGTCTCGCGTTAATAGTCCCTGATCTCTCGAAAAAAGTGTTAACTCGCGTACAGTCGTTGACGAAGGTTGTTGGGAAACACTCGTGAAAATGTTTCACGAATATATTTTTAACCTGCTGTGCGAAACATTTCAAAATTTGAACACGTTGCAGAAAAGAAGCGAAGAAATAATAAAATGAACGAGCTCGAGTCTCTGTTTTTTAATCCAAGATTCAGACAAACTTGAAGATCGTAAGAAGATCTATCAGTCAGTGATTCGTTACATCGATAAATCTCGATAATTAATAAATAAATTACGATAATATATAATTTTAACCTTATGCAACAAACGAATTCTTTATCAAATATATATCCGCAACAAATGTCCTGCAACTACTATATACGTTACAGATTGCTTTCAAACTTGGACAATATCGCCCTGTTTTCGACGTTAGCGAAATTCCAAAATATGTTTCATACAATCCACATGTAAAAATATATCTACGCGTAATTTCTCCGTGGCAGCTAAAGTGTGCAAGCACTTTAGCTCCCCGTTGAATGCAAAGTAATTGCGTGTCGTGCAGTCAATTGTAGCGACAAATTCCCGAGAAGCTATTGATTCAATTTGCGCCGCCGCAATATTTGGCAGCGCGAAGCTCGCAGTTTTGTGGAAATCCATTAGCCAGCTTCTATTACAATTTTCCCCTCCCTACGGACTCTGTGATTTCGCTCTACGTCATTGAGACTTAATGCAGTTACACATTGTTCCATCGAAATCCGGCCGAGATTTGGTTTCTGTTACTTAATCTCCGGCGGTTTCGCGTAATAACAGTCGCAACAGTTTAATAGGCGTGAAATGATTCCGGTCATTTTGTCAGATGTTGCGCAACAGGTCAATTCGTTTGACAGTTCGATGGTACATACATCGAGTTTTAGTATGAAATACAATCGTCGAATAAGGTACGAAGATTGGTCGTTTGTACAGATCGACGTTGTCGATACATCTGGCGCGTGTGTTTAGCAAACGTTGATATAATTGCAATTAGTGAACTATCCTTTCGTACACATTCACGTTATTTTATTCCATTTGAATAAATTGATCAATCATTTTTTTTATTAGTCTTGTTTCTTCCTGCCCACACGAATTCTCCCGAATTCTCACCGTTCCTCGACACGTCAAATATAATATTGATAAAAATGTTGTACGAGCTCCTTCTTCGTCTCAAACGCTACCAAACCAAGTGTCAGAGATTCTAAATGGTCGTTGGGTTTTCTCTTTCAGGTCTGCCAACTACGCGAACTCGACGAAACAATGCGAACTCTCGGACATGGACCGGTTAACCGTCGCCGGGTCGAGCGCTTTCCAATCTGCTAAAGGTTTCGATTATCTGGAAAACCACTGCGTGGACGAGCCGGTGAAACTTTGCGAATTTAAGAAACTATCCGGCCGTATCTTGAAAACTGTGGACTCTGTGTACCAGGACGTTGGCAGCTCCGAGGAATGCCGGGAGCTTTGCTTGAATTCGCCGTTCCGTTGCCATTCTTACGACTACGGCGACACCGGCGACATGGTGTGCCGTCTTAGCCATCATTCCAGAGCTACCCTGTCGGACATTCAGGTAAATAATCACCGTCGAATCCTGACGGTTTCCATTAAACCACAATTTCATCTCGACGAATTAGAAAAAGAATTATCAATTTTTTTATATCGTGTGTCTCACTGGACGTAATGCTCTAACGACATACCTTAATCGACCACAATACCATCTGATAATAAAATAATCCAGTGCAATGTATTCACGATACAATCAGGATATTAAATTCTCTCCGGGAACGATATTTTACTTCATTTTCTCCATTCCTCGTTCCATTATAATATTCGCGAAACGCGCGCGGAATCTCGATATTCGACCGGCAGCGCACAATTTTTCTATTATTCGCTCATAAAAAAAAAAAAAAAAAAAAAGACAAAAACAAATGTGAAAAGCTGCGCGCGATGTCGCGTCACGGTTCATTCGACGCGACGGACGAAGCGTTCGCCGTTCGTTCGCGTTTAATAAAACGTTGTTGCGCGACGTGGCCGCGAAATGGCGTCAGGGGACGTTGTTCCACGCAACGCGGAGTTTCCCAACGCGTTGCGTGAACTTACTTTAATTCATTTGGCACGGCGAAGTAAAACAATTCGACGTCAATTCCGCGGCACGGGATTCGCTTGGAAATCGTAGACCGCACGTATTTCGCTCGTTCCGGGCCGTGCGTCGCGTACTGGTGAAAGGGCCGGTAGGGATTTTCTGTAAACGTGATTACATCGCACACGTGTAAACCAGGTTGAACAATTCCGCGCCGAGAGCGCATTCGTGGAAAATCGAGTTTCCATCGCAGATGCTGCTTACCCTCGATCGAGCCTGTGCTCGGTGAGCTCTTCAGTTTGTGCATACGAGAGAGAACCCGAGTATCTCGCGGTCCCGAGCAAGTCAAGACAAAGACTTTTCTTCTTGCCAACCTGTTGAAGAATCGGCTCGCTCTATTTTCAACTAGCGTGTTCTCTACGTCCGACTGACTCGGTGCTTCTTCTTTTGCTCTCACAATACCCATCGTACTCGCGTTACGGTTTTTTTTTTTTTACCTTATCGCGTCTTTATTTCTTCGTCGATTCGATATACGCTCTTTAGAATCGTAAAAGAGAAGAGGAGTCGCCAATCTTTCGTTTTCATGAATGTATTATATTAGCAACGTAGGAACGCAAAATGATTTTCGCTTTTCTTTTTTTTTTTTTTTTTAATGAATAAACAGTCTCTTTTCTCCATCGTTGAAAATTTAAAAATTGTCGATAAATCTCGAGACAAAATCTCTTGAAACGTGACGAACTGTTACGAGTTTCGTTTCGGATTAAGAAGAATCCTTGTAAATCTTTGTAATGTTACGTAACGTTGACTTGTAGTAAATTTCTTCATTAATGATGTGAATGATGTTGGGGTCAATCAGAAGCTACAGTCGTCAATTAAACGACTACAAAAATTGTGTTTTAATCGTATTATCTGTAGTCATCTATGGAGTACGAAGTTATTTGTTTCTGAAAAATGACACGACTGATGCGACTGACGGTCAAACTTCGGGGAAACGACATTTTACGCGAGAAGGAGAGTTATTCGTAACGACTTGCGACGTACCCCCGGGATCTTGGTGCCCCCGCCCGTGTCGTTAAAAAGAGCATAAATATTTAAACGCGGTAATTTGAGACCCCGTTTCCTATATCATTAAATAACTTAAATAATACGTTACGGTAATTGTATAAAGAGGTAATATCTTAGAGCTGATGCTGTAATTTTGGTAATGAACGTGCAAAGCCTGGCTCGATGCATCCTGGCAATTTGTTGCGAGATAAAATGATAAACAGGAACACATTTGTGACAATTTAAGTTCCACAAATAGTAGATAATTATAACACTGGCCGGCTAGTTTAGTGGAAATATGCAAATTATTATTGTCCCCGTATCTCGACCCAGATTATCCTATTACCGACGCGAGACGCGCACTATCACCATTAACAGATAGCTCGTTCGTGAAATCACGCGAGGTCCCATTTTCAATACAAAAAAATAGTTTTCGTTCCAAGAGTTAACAATTCCAACGAACAATCAGTAGATTGAATTAATCAGAAACGACGAGTGAAGAATACCGAACCAAGTTGACGTAATAACAGTGTGAATGATATACGATTTGATCAAATTCAAAAAAGAAACATATTACGAAATAGAGGGAGAATAAATCGAAGCCAAATGTATTTCAATGTTTGTTGAAAATCGTACCGATAATATTTTTCAAAATCATTAAGAAAGAATGGAGAAGTCGATTATTTCTTTGTGAACAGTATTTAATAAAATAAAAGAGAATCGTCGTAGAACACGTAGTGTGTAATAAATATAACGATAGAAATTCGTTTTCGTACTCGGTTTCAGGAGCCTTATCTCGACGTGCCAGAGGGCTCGACCTACGAACTGAGCTCGTGCTACAACGTGACGATCGATTGCCGGGCCGGTGACATGGTGACGAGAATCCAAACGAGCAAATTGTTCTACGGCAAGGTGTACGTGAAAGGCTCGCCGAATTCGTGCGTGCAAGACGTGAAGGGCGCGCTGGAGTTCGAGCTGCGAATGGCTTACGACGATTTGGAGTGCAACATCAGGCAACAGGGTTTGGGCCGTTACTTAAACGACGTGGTGATCCAGCACCACGACACCATTGTCACCAGCTCGGATCTCGGGCTGGCCGTCACCTGCCAGTACGATCTCACCAACAAAACAGTATCGAACGAGGTGGATCTTGGCGTGCACGGTGACATAACGCCCGCGTTGTCCGAGGAAGTGATCGTCGACTCGCCGAACGTCGCCATGAAGATCACCGATCGCAGCGGAAACGAAGCGATCCCGTCAGCCGAAGTCGGCGATCCCCTGGCGCTCAAGTTCGAGATCCTCGACCCTAACAGCCCGTACGAGATCTTCGTACGCGAGCTGGTGGCTATGGACGGCGTGGACTCCAGCGAGATAGTCTTAATTGACTCGGATGGCTGCCCCACCGATCACGTCATCATGGGCCCGCTCTACAAGTCCGCTACCACCGGCAAGGTAAGTTCCAGGCTAATGGTTATCATTTATCGTTGGCCGTAGCGCGATGCGAACCGCAACAGCGCCACCGTAAGTACGCCAACTCCTCGGGCTAGGGACTTTTTTAACGAGGGATCGTAAACGGCCACGTACGGAATTAGATCTTCTTTTTTTCTCTCTCTCTCCATCACCCTCCCTCCTCCTCCTCTTCTTCTCTTTTCTCATCTTCTTTCTTTTTTCCCCCGAGGAACACGTGTCTCATTACCGTCGACACTTTACAATGGCATCGATCGAGCCATTAACTGGCAAAAGGAACGCCAATAGCCGTTTATAGAGTAATAAAAGTCCGTTCGTTACAGAGCAAACTTATACGCGGAGAACTCAACGAGAGAACAAACAGCCAACGTTACCGGTGTCTATATGACGCGAGTTCGAGGAATCTGTCCTGTTGTCCGTTACGTTACTCTCCCAACCCCCTTTCGCGTAACGAGAGTCCACGAATCAAGATTCCAATCGGCAGTTTTAACAAATGGCGTCTCGATCCGAAGGTTGAGCCACAAATCAAACGAAGAAAGAATCTGATCGACCGTTTCACAAAAGAGACACACACGCGAACGATCCGAAAAATCATCGAAACGACTAGTTTCGAAAGTAACGCGCTGTCCAATCGTCAAATCACGCCGGCGGTGCGTACGTGTCCTTAACGAAACTGCTAAAGACCGACGAACGCGATACGTGACCGCGAACGTAGGGACGCGAGCCGGCTAGACGAGAGGTTAGGCACGACTAGGAGGCATCAGCTGTCGCAGCAAGAACACTGTTATTACCCGCGTCGGCCTCTCTCGCTGCGTCTGCAGTTCCTCCCACGCGCGTTCCACCGCGAGTTAATAATAAAAAGAGGGGTAAAGACCGATTCTAATTTGACGGACACGGCGAGCCTCGTGCACGGGATGGTGCACGCCGCGGCTAATAGAGATGCTTGATGCCGATAATGTCGATACCACGGCCACAGCGAGCCGTTAGAGGGAACGTTGCTTGCTTGCACGTTGTTGTTTCGTGTTCGTATATGTTTTATAAAGGGTCGAAGGAAAGGAAAGGAAAGGAAAGGAAAGGAAGGGAGAGATGGGAACGAACGGGAAGAAACGAAGGAGACAGTCGGGCAGCGCCGGTCGCCGCGGCTGCATGCTAATCAATCACTCGGACGGATTTTACGACGCGGCGGGAAGCAATTTGCTCGCGCCATAACAGGTCGCGTCGGTTGATGCACCGTCGTCGTCTTGGCGATGGCGCGTCACGATGCAGCGTTGATAGCAGGCAGCTTCGGCTGCTTGTTATTACTTTCACCGTGTAATGCTAGCTGTCGCCTGGAAAATTTGGAAAAGCAAACAGGCTCTTCGTCACCGACGGATGCGTGACGCAGTTGCGCTTCACGAGTTTCCGGCAACGCCGGGCCAGCGTAGACGAGCGAAACGCGTTACACGTTCACAGGAATGAAAATTCGAATTTAGAGCGAATGGTCGGTGGATTTTCACGCGTTCGTGGGAATTTTGAATTTTTCAACGAGCTTTCATTGAAAAATGTGAAAAATATGAAAGATATTCGATTAGTTCGAACTGGTAGTAAGAACAATTCAGTACTATAATTACGATGGAACACGTAGTTTAATGAAACATTTTCTTACTTCGTACATAGATCACTTATCAGAGATATTTCCAAGAGAATCAGCGTTACAGCATTACAATCACAAGCTGTTTGTTTCCCCCATTTCTTTTCTTCGTGTCATCAAAAGGTATCAACGTCAAGGATATTTTGTTCTCGTTCTTGGAAGAATATTCACGAGAAAGCATTGCAAGTTCGAACGACGAAATTACGATTAATAATGGTGAAACGTCTTGAAACGACGTTGAAAATAAATCTTTGCTTGTTCAGTTTCTCAACATATTCGCGAAATATTCAAGCGGGAAAATACAAGAGGGAAACTAGTCGATACACTTGGTCGTAGGTACCAAGTTGATGATCAATGATCGTACCACGCCTGCTAACCAGATGGATGACATTATCGATGTAACAACGACTGAGATGACCGGGAATGTGTATTAAGGTTGTCAAAATACCACTACATCATCAGTGGGCCGCCATTCCACGCGTAAAGTAGAAAATCTCCCGACGCGGCGTGTCAGCAAATTACGAAGGATAAATTAATTTTGTGAGCACATTACTGTCCCAGTGAACCACCGCAGAATTTATTTGTCCATTTATTCGTATCAAGGGCTGCGCGTCGTATTGAAATTGATTTACATAAAACGTAAAACTGTTCTCCGCTATAAATATCAATTACTTCTCTCTCTTTTTCTCTCTCTCACTCGCTTGAATATTATTCATTATTCACCTCGTTTCTCCTAAATTCGGTTTGACGGAACGCAACGGGTCGGGCAGAACGAAATGTGTGCCACGGCACGCGAAATTAATCGTAGTAATCAATTACGCGGGGAATTTATGTGATCTTGAAAACGTAAGGTATAGCGTAACGAGTCGTTCGGCAAATTGCGAATTTCAATTATAGTCATCGGTTGCCGCTTGTTACAATTTTACGCAGCACGCTCGGACGAAAAACTCCTTGGAAATAAAAAACGCTGACGGTACGATTCACTTTAATCATCAAGAATGATGGCGCGTAACTGTCTTCACATACGATACGAGAGAGAGAGAGAAAGAGATCGTACACTCTGGTAATGATCATTCCTTCCTACACGAGGAAACGTGAAATCAACTCGGCGAACATGTTGACGAAGAAAGGATACAATTTGCTCGACAGAGCTAGACACCTAGGCAACGTTACGGCCAACTGGTTAACCATATTGGATAAATTGAATGTACCGGCCTTGCGAGCGTATAGCAAACCCATTTCAGAAAATTAGAAATATCAGACGCCTCGAATAAGTCGGGAACGCGATTAGATGTTAGATCGAACGCGTCACGTCCGTGATAAATCTATTAAGAGCGGTTAAGCGTAAATCTTTCCACTTATCGAACGTCAAGTTCCGCGAAAGCTTGATCAAATTGCTCCGCACTTGTCTCTTTTCAGAGATAATTTCAATCATTAACGACCAAAGTATGAAACTCGTATCAATTTTGTAACGGCACATTTCATTCCGTTCAATTGCAAGAAACGGGAAACAGGTTTATCACGCAATGAGAAACGAGAGCTCTTATTTATTCGTACGTCTCCAAATAATTTAATTCGTAAAAAAAAATACACAATTTGAAGAATTCGATCGTTTTTACTTTCCCCAAAAAAAAAAAAAAAATTAAACGATTCAGAGTAGATCTTCGAACCGCGAGAGACACGAGCTACGAAAATAAAACAGCGGGGCAATTTCAATCGTTAAACTGTATCGGCGAAATAATGACATACGAGCATGTTAACGACGTGAAAGATTATTCGTCCAATAATGATCGTTCCTTCCGCGTGCGGCCGCATAAGGAAGCACGAAATTAGCCGCGCTACAACTCGTGCATTAGATACGTGGAAGAAGGTTCGACGCGCGCCAAGCCACACCGAGCATCATTAATTCTTGCAAATTTTATCGGCATCCGATCGTCGCGCCGAGATAAGAAACTTCACACGTCCTATGATTTAAGAGGTAGCTGTCACGGTCACGAATAATTCCGAGTTTTCCAACCACGATATAATTATCCTCCTTGAGCGAACTTCGCACGTACGAGATCCATTCGGCCCGATAAGCTCTTGAACCTTTCGCCATTTTTCCCAATCGGAAACGACTTCCTCATCAACGCGCGCGAATCTCTACCGATCGCCGTCGATAAATTAACAGTCTAGCATGCTTGCCAATCGAAATTTTTTTTTTTTTATCCGTTTTTATCCGAACGTTCAATTACCTTGGCGACGGCATTGTCCATCGATCCTTTCGGACGATGAATTCTTCACACCGATTAAACGCGATGAAGTTTGTTTAAACAAAGAACATAAGTAAGATAAGTAGAGATTCTGTGTAGTACAATAGCGGAAGTGTGTAATTTAATACTTTAAGAAAGATATTAATGGCTTTTATGGTCTTTTGCAGAGATTACCTAGATTCGCCAAGAGAAATACAAAAGTACGACGTAGATTTTGAAAATAATTTTCTGACGCATAGATTGACAGATCCGATCTCTTTCGATATAATGCATTTAAGGGTCGAACTTGGTAGTATAGTAGAAGTGTGTGTAGTTTAATACCTTAAATACCTTAAATGGCATTGATAATCTTGTAATATTTCTATAACTCGTACATCTCATTCGGAATAACGTACCAATTCTTCCAACAGAAATAATCATCATTTCTAGAGTCCACGATTCGCCAGGACAAAAGTACAAAAGTACGACACAGATTTTAAAATGAATAATTTCCTGACGCGCGAGTTGACAGATCCGATCTATTTCGATGCAGCACATTCGAAGGTCGAACTTCAAGTGTTGTCGTTTCGGTAAAATTCGCGCCGCGACAAGAAAAAAAAAAAAAAAAGAAAATTAATAATTCCTCTCGAAGGCAATCACAGTGTTTCACTGTTCACTGTGAACGTTGGCGAGGTATTGGCTAATGGTTCGCCGCAAATCTCGTCATCGCCGATTTCGAAGAACTCTGTCCACCGGTTTGAAGGTTGAACGTCCTGCGAGATCGTCGTACGGCGATTGATGCTTCGGCTGTCGACGAGTAAAACAAACGGATCGTTACGACATAGTGGCAGGTAGAAAGAAGAATGCAACGGGGCGGGAGGGGAAGAAGGGAACGAAGCAGCGTGTGGGGGAGAACAAGAGGCATACCGCCTCGTTAACTCGTCGTTCCACATCATTTGCCCGCGCGGGTGCGGGTGCGGGTGCGCCGCGAAGCAATATCGCTTTATTAGAAAGTAATAACAGTCCCGGGCTCGAAAGAAAGAGCAAATTTATATCCGTTAATCCAGGAAAGATGCGGCGCATCGAGATATATCACCGAGTCGTGTACACCCTTGACACCCCTC